CATAGGTCTGGAACACAGAAGAAATGCTATGGATTGTTTTATATATAACCTATGTAATAATCATTTATATTTATAACATACATTATATAATAAATTTTATAAATCAGTTACTAAATTATTTTTTTTTAATCACTTATTATTAGGGCTCATATTGTGTACATCATGGCCTTGGAAGGCTCCTAGTATCTTCTACAGAAGCTCCCAATGAAATGATCATCTCCAGGTTACAGGATACCTTGAATAGAGACTGCTTCATCCATAATCAGAAGGGTTTTGTTTGTATTGATTCTACAGCTTGCAGCTTCTGATAGATAGATAGATAGATAGATAGATAGATAGATAGATAGATCGATCAATAGATACTTGTTTAACTAAGCCTCCTGTAGTCATTTTCTTTTCTCTCCTCTGAGTTTCCTTTTGAAATGTCCTATAAAAATGGGAATGATGTCCCAATTTTCTGATTTAACCTCTACTTAAGGGAATTTTCCATTGTTCCTGTTAGGTATTTATTGCTATATAACAAATTACAAAACTCAGTAGATTAAAATAACACATATTGTTTCACAGATTTTGTAGGTCAGGGATCTAGGTCCTCTGCTTCAGAGTCTCTCACAATGCTGCTATCAAGGTGTTGGCTACAGATGAGATCTCATCTGAAAGCTCAGCTTCCTAGCTCAGATGGTATTTGTTGGCATTTAGTTTCTCATCGGATTGACAGTCTCAGTTCCTCACTAGCTATTGGCTAGAGACTATCCTTAGATCCTTGCCATATGCGCTCTCCTAAATGACAACTTGTTTTATCAAAGACTGCAAACCCAAAATGTAATAAAGTCTGCTAACAATACAGAAGTTATAATCTTTTGTAACCTAATCACAGAAAGAAAGTCTATCAGCTTTGCCTTATTCTATTGGCTAGAACAGGTCAGTAGGTCTAGTCCACATTCCAGAAGAAAGGATCACACAAGGGCCTGCATATCAGGAGGTGAGATCACTGAGGCCATCTTAGAAGTCTGCCTACCATATAACTAATATTTACCAATCTACAAGATCAAGACAAAAAGAGGCATTAACAAAAATGCCAACTTTTCTGTATGGAGTTATGTGATGTTACGCAGGTCTGGGCCCTTTAACTTCCTGGTTTCTCAGTGAAAGATGACTAATCATTAAAGCTAGTGTGCTGTATGTACTCTGGAAGGTAAGGAAATACATATGGGCTACAAAGAAAAATATATGAAATATAAAGTATGTTTCCATCAAGGTTTCTTGGAAACTCTAGTCGAGGCTTTTATAAAGTGCTTTTAAGCATCATTCTTCCAAAAGTACCTTTTAAAATGATTCTCAAGGCTTCACAATATATATACATTTTTTACAAATACATATTTCCCAACATCTGTAAAAGGGTAAATCTTAAGAGTATTTTATGCTGAACTTACAAATTTGGTACTGAAGATAAGTATTTCTTGTAGTCTGCCAAATTTCTGCCACAATGGAAAATATGCAGATGATTGTTTAACATTCTGTGCCATCAGACAGGAATTATATTTCACATCTTTTTTTTTTTTTTTGAGACGGAGTCTTGTTCTGTTGTCAGGCTGGAGTACAGTGGCGCGATCTCAGCTCACTGCAACCTCTGCCTCCCAGGTTCAAGCAATTCTCCTGCCTCAGCCTCCTGAGCAGCTAGGACTACAGGTGGGTGCCACCACACCCGGCCGATTTTTGTATTTTTAATAGAGACGGGGTTTCACCACGTTGACCAGGATGGTCTCGATCTGCTGACCTCGTGATCCGCCCACCTTGGTCTCCCAAAGTGCTGGGATTACAGGCGTGAGCCACCGCACCTGGCCTATATTTCACATCTTAATGAGAAAATACCTTCTCTTAATTTGTTGCATCAAAAAAAAAAATTAGTAATTCGGCTGGGCGTGGTGGCTCACACCTGTAATCACAGCACTTTGGGAGGCTGAGGCAGGTGGATCATGAGGTCAGGAGTTCAAGACCAGCCTGGCCAATATGACGAAACCCTGTCTCTACTAAAAATATAAAAAATTAGCCAGGTGTGGTGGCGCACACCTGTTCTCCCAGCTACTTGGGAGGCTGAGGCAGGAGAATTGCTTGAACCCAGGAGGTAGAAGTTGCAGTGAGCCGAGATCATGCCACTGCACTCCAGCCTGGGCAACAGAGTGAGACTCTGTCTCGAAAAAGAAAAAAAAAAGAAAAGAAAAGAAAAAGAAAAATCAGTAATTCAAACCATTGTAACTACCAGCAGTCACATTTTCAATTCCATGAACAGTGGAATGCAAAATAAATTTTCAGAATGTAATTTTATCATTTAAAAAAATCTTATTGCTAAAAATAGGAGGGAAAAATCATGATTCTATCACCAAGAAACAATCACTATTAAACATTTTGGTATGTATCTATATGTATATCCTTTTAGACTATTAAATATGTTTTATTTAAATGTTATTTAATTTAAATATGTTAAATGTGTTAAATAATATTACCGCAAATGAGATAATACTCCATTTTATAATGATATATGCAATTGTTCCAAAATGAAGATTTCCAGAGCAACTGATTTTCAATGAGGCATTGCTAAACAAGGCTCCTAGCAAAGTAATGCTAGCAGCAGGTTGACCAAGTGCTACACAGAGCAATGGACCAGCCCTGCATCATTGTTAAATGATGAAGGGGATAAAGCTGTTATCCCCAAAGGAATGAACTACAAAACAGATAATTGGGGGGACATCTAATTCGTACCCCTCTAGTAGTGTTTTAGCCATATTACGTTGATCATGCTTTTATTTCCTTTTTTTTTTTTTTTTTTTTTTTTTTTTGAGACAGAGTCTCGCTCTGTTGCCCAGGCTAGAGTGCAATGGCACAATCTTGGCTCACCGCAACCTCTGCCTCCCGGGTTCAAGCAACTCTCCTGCCTCAGCCTCCCGAGTAGCTGGGATCACAGCCGCACGCCACCACAACCGGCCACCCTTTGTATTTTTAGTAGAGACGGAGTTTCACCATGTTGGTCAGGCTGGTCTCAAACTCCTGACTTCGTGATCCACCCGCCTTAGCCTCCCAAAGTGCTGGGATTACAGGCGTGAGCCACCATGCCCAGCCATTCTTTTATTTCTTAACCTTTTTATTCTGTTAGGTACCCCGTCCTTAAACTCCCTCCCCCAGTGTCTGAATCTGAATTATGAGTTTCTGAATCACTGAATTATTGTGCTTCTCAGGACAAATCTCACCTCTGATGATTCTTTCTATACCATCTTTACTAGCTTTTCTTCCCTCTTTTATCCAAACTAGTTGGCATAGCTACTAACCCACTATTTCGCTTTCCTTGTTTTCTCCCTCACTACCATTTATGGCCTCATGGTTTAAATAATCAGCTTTATATTGGAGACTATTAAAACCTTTCTCACCTCACACTTAAAGTATGTAAACCAAACTCGTCCACTTCCCCTCAAATTATTCACCATCTCTCCTCTTTCCCCAGTATTGTTCCTTTATCATAGCTAACATCTGGGAATTATCTTCAACTTCTCCCCTCCCTTTATCCTACCCAGTCTCTATTAAATCATGCTTCGAAATATCTCCTAAAGTTTTTCATTCCTTTCCACTTTCTTTGCCTTCACTCCAACCCAGGCCAAGATTGCTTTCACAACTGGACTTAAGCGAAAATATCCTGAATGGGGTTAGGGCTCCTTTGCCCCCATTCTCCCACCTTCCTAGGGTACTCTCATTGTAATGGTCAGGGGGATAAAATGAAAAGGGAACTGGGCTTAAAATCAGGAGGCCAAGAAGTTCCCTCTCTGCCACCCCAGGTGTGACCTTGAGCATGTTTCTTTCTTCTTTTGAGCCCTGGGAATTTCCTTATCTGCAAAATGGCAATTTGGACTACCTCATGGGCTCTAAGCTGCCTTGCAATTCTAACAATCTTCTACTCTGACACTTCTTTTTGCTCAAAGAAAGGCAATGACAATCTTTTCTCACCAGAATCACAGCTGGTACTCAATGTGTTCCAGCTTGCATTGTCCCTTACATCCAGACTGCTCACCATATCCCTAATAAGCCCCGGGCTTTCCACTATAAATGTCAGTTCCCTGTACTATTGTTCTTCTTCTGCAATTAAATTATTCCTTTTACAAACATTTATGGAGTAACTATTAATGTACAAGGCACTTTGCTAGGTCCTGGAAATGGCGAGGTAAACCACATAATCCTTGCCCTCAAAGAATTTACCATCTCCTTGGAGATGTGGCTAAGTAGGTAACATATAATATTGTATTACGTGCTATGCTGAAAAAAATAATACATCTCAGCTGTTTCGGGGGAAGAACGGGCATCACTTAACAAAATGGGATACCCAGGAAGACTTTGGAAAGGCTGCACTAATTCCAAACTAAGTCTTTAAATCTTAAAAGGAAAAATAAGACTGAAGGAGGTGAGAAAATGTGTGCTATGTCTTCCTTGAAGCGCAGAGAAGAGAGAGGAATTATTATTTTTTTTATTATTAAGAACAAGGTATACTGAAAAACACTGGAGTATAGAGGGCAGGTGGCAAGCGGTGAGGTTGGTCATGATGAATAGCCCTCAATGTCACCCTAAGGAATTTGAGGTTTCACCGAGGAAAGGATGGAGTACAGGCTGTATTCTGAATCAGATAATTCCTTTCCTGGTCTGTTATTGGGAAAAGGTGGTTGTTGGGCACTGAAACGGTCAAAGCCGATGGCAGGATAATCCGGTAGGAGGAAATGGTAGTCTGCCAAAAATTGTTCCGGCTACTAATTGGTCCACTAAAACAATACGGTGACCGATGCCTCACGGCCTCTTCAAGCTAACAGGACTCTAGTCAGAGTCCGCCTACTGGCCACCGTCAGTGCCCATTAGCGCCCGGCCGCCGTGTCACAGAGAGCAGGACGCACCGGGGAGGGAGCTGCCTGCGACGTCGCGAGATTTCTCGTGAGTGGCGCTTGGACAGAGCGTCTGGTAGCCCAGCAACCGCCGCTGGTCTGCGTAGAGACCCGGCGCTGGCGAAACCTACCAAACCGGAGTTACCGACCCGACTGTCCCGCGAGCGGTGAGCTGCCCGCGGGGAATAAGCGTGGGGACCGAGGAAATCCTAGAACCATGTTTCTCAAACTTGCCTGCCACTAAGACTTTCTGGGACATTTGTTAAAATGCAGATCCTTGGGCCCTATCTTTAGACATATAGAATTTCCAGAAAAAATGGTCTGGAAGTCTGTTTTTAACAAATGGTTACCTGGCAAGATTGGGAAACAGCTCTAGAGGAGGGAGTCACAGGTGAAGGGGTGGTCGTGGGGCTGAGGAAGCAGCCCGGTGGGCGTGGAGCTGAGTTTGAAAGGGTTTTGAAAAGCCTAAGGGCTGGAGCCAGTGATTTAGAGCATCTGGAAGCCACTGAACCTGTGGCCTAAGTGGAAGTATAGATATTAACAGAATTCAGAAAACGTTGTCCACTGCCTCTAGCCTGTGGGAATTCCAGCAGATGAAAGACAAGGGGTTCGTTAAAATGGATTCCACCCATCTAAGAAACCTACACAGGTACCCCCCGAACCGAAAAGGTGGAAAACAACAATAATAACAACAGGAACAAACAAAAAACCAAACAACAACAACAACAAAAAGCTAACAATAAAATGGATTCCTAGAGCCTGTAAAGAAGCTCTAAGCCGTTCCCACCGGTGGCCTGGGAGAGAGAGATCTAGCAAGAGGAGTCCCAAAGTAACAAGAGATACCTAGAGGGTGGAAAGTAGGCAAAAGCAGTTTCTCAAACTTTAGAACACAATTAATCTCTTTTAAAAGAAAACCAAAGACACTTCACAAGTGCTGACATTATCTTTATTATAATGTTCTAAAATGTATCCAAATCCACTCTAGGTTCAGTTTAAACTCCTGAAGCTTTTAATTTTCTAAAAACAATAAAACTACCAGTACAGTTTAAATTAATATTGTTTTTAACAATATGAATGGTGGTGTTTTGATGAAACTAAATTCTCTCTTATGGACTGCTACAGTGCAAATTCTTTTGAGTTAACAGTCTATTATTTTGTGTTGTGGGTTGATTCAGTTCTCTCCTTTTCCATATTCAAGCTAGAAAATTTTCCTATAGCTTACTGATGAGGTCCGTTGACCTTCCCTTGGTTTAGTAAATACTTCACTTACATACAAAGTTTGCCTCTGTCCTTTTCCAAAATTATCTAAGGTCATTAATTTTTATCTATGTGAACACCAATTTATACACTGAAATCTACAGACAGAATCCATTTCTAAAGTGAAAGTATTAAGAATATGTCATTTCAAAATATGCTGCTCTGGCATATTGACTATATTTAGTTAAAAGCACTTGAAAAATGACTGGGCATAGTGGCTCACACCTGTAATCGTAGCACTTTGGGAGACTGAGGCGGGCGGATCACTTGAGATCAGGAGTTCCAGACCAGCCTGGCCAACATGGCGAAACCCTGTCTCTACTAAAAATACAAAAATTAGCCAGGCGTGGTGGTGCATGCCTGTAATCCCAGCTGCTTGAGAGACTGAGGCAGGAGAATCGCTTGAACCCAGGAGGCAGAGGTTGCAGTGTGCCAAAATCGCACCACTGCACTCCAGCCTGAGCAACAGACCAAGACTCCATCTCAGGAAAAAATAAAGAAAAGCACTTGAAAAATACAGGTAGGCCGGGCGCGGTGGCTCAAGCCTGTAATCCCAGCACTTTGGGAGGCCGAGACGGGCGGATCACGAGGTCAGGAGATCGAGACCATCCTGGCTAACACAGTGAAACCCCGTCTCTACTAAAAAATACAAAAAACTAGCCGGGCGAGGTGGTGGGCGCCTGTAGTCCCAGCTACTCTGGAGGCTGAGGCAGGAGAATGGCATAAACCCGGGAGGCAGAGCTTGCAGTGAGCTGAGATCCGGCCACTGCACTCCAGCCTGGGCGACAGAGTGAGACTCCGTCTCAAAAAAAAAAAAAGAAAGAAAAGAAAAGAAAAATGACAGGTAAAAGATGATTGCTCTGACTTTTATTCTGTTTTTTTGCTTTTTTGTTTTGAGACAGGGTCATGCTCTGTTTCGCAGGCTGAAGTGCAGTGGCGCAATCACAGCTCACCACAGCCTTGACTTCCCAGGCTCAAGCAATCCTCCTCCCTCAACCTCCCAAACAGCTGGGACCACAGGCATGTACCACCATGCCTGGCTCATTTATTTTTTGTAGAGACAGGGGTCTCGCCATGTTGCTCAGGCTGGTCTCGAGCTCCTGGGCTCAAGCAATCCTCCTGCCTCAGCCTCCCAAAGTGCTGGGACTACAGGTGTGAGCCACCACACCCTGTCTGTTCTGTTTCTTAAAAGCAGGAGAAGAAATTTTCATATGAACGATTTCCTCCCTATACTAGAAAGTATCATTCTTACCATCAAGGACTGGAAGCTGAAGCCAAGGAAAAGCTGTATAAACAAACGTTTTTACAAGAACCCTTCACCAATCAACTACCCTAGCCCTAACCCAAGCTCCTTTACCTTGTCACATTTTCTTTTTTATTTTTTTTGAGACGGAGTTTCGCTCTTGTTGCCCGGGCTGGAGTGCAATGGCATAATCTTGGCTCACCACAACCTCTGCCTCCCGGGTGCAAGCGATTCTTCTGCCTCAGCCTCCCGAGTAGCTGGGATTACAGGCATATGCCACCATGCCTGGCTAAGTTTTTTGTATATTTAGTAGAGACGGGGTTTCATCATATCGGTCAGGCTGGTCTCAAATTCCTGACCTCAGGTGATCCACCCACCTCAGCCTCCCAAACTGCTGGGATTACAATCATGAGCCACCGTGCCCGGCCACATTTTCACAATTTACTATGCTCTTAATTTTTTCTTTTCTTTTCTTTTTTTTTTTTTTTTTTTTGAGACAGAGTCTCACTCTGTTGCCCAGGCTGGAGTGTAGTGGTGCGATCTGGGCTCACTGCCACCTCTGCCTCCCAGGTTCAAGCAATTCTCCTGCCTCAGCCTCCTGAGTAGCTGGGATTATAGGCATGTGCCACCACAACCAGCTAATTTTTGTATTTTTAGTAGAGATGGGGTGTCACCATGTTGTCCAGGCTGGTCTCGAACTCCTGACCTCAAGTGATCTGCCCACTTTGGCCTCCCAAAGTGCTGGGATTACAGGCATGAGCCACTGCACCTGGCCTACTATCCTTTTTCTAACTTAGTATGCAAGTATACAACTCTGCGTATTTGAGTCTTCATTTCTTATGAAGGTTCCCATGCCACATTAAACTTGTATTAACTAAATTTGCTTGCTTTTCTCCTCTTGATCTGCTATATGTCAATTTAATTATTAGGCTCAGCCACAAAACAAACAAACAAACAAACAAACAAAAAACCCTAAAATGGAAGAGGTAACATTTTGCCTTCCCTACAATAGCATGGCCATTCATGAGGTTTCGGGTGATCCAAATTTTCTCTGTTTTAGCCAAAGTTAGAAAACAGAGCCTGAAGTAAAAACTCATGTGATAGGCTGGGCATGATGGCTTACACCTGTAATCCCAGCACTTTGAAAAGCCAAAGCAGGAGGATCACTTGAACCCAGAAGTTTGAGACCAGCCTGGGCAACATAATAAGACCCTGTCTGTAAAAAAAGAAAAGAAATATCTTCTTATTAAGCTTAGATGAAAAAATTCCTGGCAAGGCATGGTGGCTCATGCCTATAATCTTGGCACTTTGGGAGGCTGAGGTGGGAGGATTGCTTGAGGCCACGTGTTTGAGACCAGCCTGGGCAACATAGTAAGACCCTGTCTCTACAAAAATAAAAAAATAAAAAATAAAAAATTAGCTGAGCATGGTGTTATACACCTATAGTCCCAGCTGCTCAGGAGGCTGAGGTGGGAGAAACACGTGAGCCCAGGAGTTTGACACTGCAGTGAGCTATAATCACACCACTGCACTCAAGCCTTGGCAAAAGTAAACCCCTATCTGTACAAAATAATAATAATAATAATAATAAAATCCTAAATAAAACATTAGCAAACTTAATTTGCATATATATGTTATTCTGACTAAGTTTGGTTTATCCCTGGAATGCAAAAAGATATAACATTAGAAGTCTACCAGCCTGGGTAACATGGTACAACCCTGTCTCTACAAAAAATACAAAAATTAGGCCGGGTGCAGTGGCTCACGCCTGTAATCCCAGCACTTTGGGAGACTGAGGCGGGCAGATCACAAGGTCAGGAGATTGAGACCATCCTGGCTAACACGGTGAAACCCCATCCCTACTAAAACAATACAAAAAAATTAGCTGGGCGTGGTGACAGGCGCCTGTAGTCCCAGCTACTCAGGAGGCTGAGGCAGGAGAATGGCGTGAACCCGGGAGGGGGAGCTTGCAGTGAGCCGAGATGCGCCACTGCAGTCCAGCCTGGGTGACAGAACAAAACTCCGTCTAAAAAAAATAAATAAAATAAAATAAGCTGGCATGGTGGCATGAGCCTGTAGGGCATGAGCTACTCGGGAGGCTGAGGTGGGAGGATTGCTTGAGCCCAGGAGGCAGAGGTTGCTGTGAGCCGAGATTGTGCCACTGTACTCCAGCCTGAGTGACAGAGCGAGACCCTTTCATGCACACACACATACAAAAAGAACCATTAGAAGTCTATTAATGTATTTCACCACATCTCCTAAGGCAAAAGAAAAACATTTCATAACCATCAACCTTCATTCATGAGTTTAAAAAATACTTTACAAACTATGAATATAAAAGCACTTTCTTAATCTGAATATGGCTATCTTTTTTTTTTTTTTGAGACGGAGTCTTGGTCTGTCGCCAGGCTGGAGTGCAGTGGCGCGATCTCAGCTCACTGCAACCTCCTCCTCCCGGGTTCAAGTGATTCTCCTGCCTCAGCCTCCTGAGTAGCTGGGACTACAGCGCGCACCACCATGTCCAGCTAATTTTTTTGTATTTTTAGTAGAGACGGGGTTTCACCATTTTGGCCAGGATAGTCTCGATCTCTTGACCTCGTGATCTGCCCACCTCAGCCTCCCAAAGTGCTGGGATTACACGCGTAAGCCACGGTGCCCATGCTATCTTAAAAAAAAAACAAAACTTACAGCAAATATCATACTAAAAAAAAAAAAAACCTTACAGCAAATATCATACTTAGTGGTGAAATGTTGCAAGTATTTCTTTTGAGATCAGCAATAAGACAAGTGCATGTGCCCTCATCGCTTCTACTCAACCTTGTTCCTAGAGGTCCTAGCAAGTGCAATAACACAATAAAAAATAAAAAAAAAGATAAAAGGTTTGGGAAGTAGTAGACTGTTACTCATATATAATCTGATTGTCTACATGGAAAACATAAAGACTCTATAAAATAAAATTAATGTGTCCTTACCAGTGTTGCTGGATATAAAATCAGTATTTTAAAAATACTGCGTTTCTATACAGTAGCTACAAACAGAAAATATAATTTCTAAAAGAATAGCGTTTGCAATATCAACAAAAATACATGATCCCAATAACTCAAAAATAAAAACTTGAGCTGGGCATGGTGGCTCATGCCTGCAATCTCAACAATTTGGGAGGCTGAGGCAGGTGGATTGCTTAAGCCCAAGAGTTTGAGATTCCCCTGGCAACTTGGCAAAACCCCATCTCTACTAAAAATACAAAAATTAGCTGAGCATGGTGGCGCAGGCTTGTAGTCCCAGCTTCTCAGAAGGCTGAGATGGGAGGATCATTTGAGACTGAGAGACGGAAACTGCAGTGAATCGAGATCAGGCCACTGTACAGAGCGAGACTCTGTCTCAAAAACAAGCAAATGAATGAAAAAACAAAACAAAACAAAAAACTTATGCATGGCCTTAAATATAAAAGAAAAATTTTTAACTACTGAAAATCACTAAATTAGCACTACCAAAATGGAGAGACTTACCATACTCATGGAAAAGAAGACTTGATATTAGAGAAATGTCAGTGCTTCATGAATTATTTATAAATTTGCAATTCCTAACAATCATGAAAGGACTTTTCATGGAATGAAAAATTGATGTTTAAATTTATATGAAAGAGTCAAGGACCAAGAATAACCCAAGTAGAGAGAAAGATTATTAATCTGTACTAATTAAGACCGTGTTGTCATGGGGATAAATATATAAGTGAATGCAAGAGAAAAGAACCATAGAAGAGAAAATACACCAAGTACTGGGATAATTGGTTCTCCATAAGGAAAAAAATATTGAATATCTCACTTCCTACACAGTAGTCAACTCTAGATAAAGACCAAAATGCATCAAGGAAAACTTTAACATATTCAGAAGACTATAGAGGTCATTTTTTCTGAAATTAAGGTAGGGAAGGCGTTATTAAATAAGCCACAAAAAGCACAAAACATGAGAAAAATAATGATACATTTGACTATATTAAAAAAAGTTTCTGTTTTTTAGACGATACCATTAAAAGCAAACTAACAAGTGAAAAAGAGAGAAAAGACAAGCTACAGTCTGGGAAAAGACATTTGCAACACATGTTATCAATGAAATATTAGTATGTAATAGAAATGTGTGTGTGTTCTGCCAATTTCTTAGAAAAGCAGAACTCAGTAGGAAAAATGGGCAAAATATAAGAAATAGCAATTAACAGAAGAGAAACTCCACATGGCCAATAATCAGGAAAATACTCTCAGTCTCTCAATAAGTAGAGAAAGGCAAATTAAAACACAGTAATGAGATATCATTTTATACCCATCAGCTTGGCAAAAAGTTAAAGATTGCCAATATCAGGTGCCAACAATGGTGCAGGCTGCATTGTAGAGCAGTGGGAACTCTTTTACTTGCCAGTGGTAAAATTCCTTTGGAGAAAAATTTGACAGTATAGATAGTAAAGTTGAAATGTCCAACCCAGAGTGGCCACTCCTAGTTTTAAACCTTAAAGAAGCTCTTGCACATGTGCTAAATGATACATACAAAATCATAAAAGCAACATTGTAAAAGCGAAAAAAAAAGGAAATACCCAAAGATCAGTCATTAGGAAAAATTAATTTCTTACAATGGAATATTGTATAGTAAATATTCTAGAGCTACACACATCAACCCACATGACTCTCACATATAAAACATAAAGCAGAAAAGAAAGCTGAAGACAGAATAATATTAACATCATTGATGACATGTAAAATTGTGAAAAACAGTACTATATATTATTTAGGTATACATACATCTGTAGTAAAAGCATAAAAACATTAATAGTCTAAATTTTAGATAAACCCTAAATTTAAGAGAATGAAGAGGAAGAAAGGTATACAGGGGTTTCAAATGTATTTGTAATGTTTTATATTTTAAGCTGATCTGTGGGTCCATGGGTGTTATACTATTCTTATACTTTTATCGTGAAATATTTTATGAAATATTTTCAAGGTAATATTAATAAGTTATTTTAATTGAATTAGATACTTTGTTCAGAATATAGTATCATATTTGAAATGTGATCTGAAAAGTCAACAATAAGCTTAAAATTTTGTTATAAAAATAATCAGATATATGCAAATTTCAAAAATCTATGAAGATTTTATAATTTTTTTCCTGCTCAGTTCTGAGGCTTAAGATTTTATAATTTTATTCTGTAGGTTGTACTTTGCATTTTGAAGAGTCTAAGAATACATTCCATATCTTCAAATATTTTATTGTGGGCAATTTACAATAACATAGCCTGGGTAATACCAATGTGTGAGTATATAAATTTAATTTATAGTCTACTGAATTCATTTTTCCTCCTAAGCACTGATTTCATGTACAGAATATTGTACACATTGAGGTATTTGGTTGGTTAAATTCCATATACACTGGAATAATGTTTAATTTTAAACTGTGTTTTTGGTTACATTTGTAGTAAACGAATGTGAAGCACAATTGGGGAAACTGGGATATTTATCACTTAAATAGCTATACTTCCTCAGCAATTGAAAAAAAATGGGCTACCTCAAATCTATAGACAATATATGGCAATATTTTATTTACTTATTTAGAGACAGTCTCCCTCTGTCACCCAGGCTGGAGTGCAGTGGCATGATCATAGCTTACTCTAACCTGGAACTCATGAGCTCAAGTAATCTTGCCTCAGCCTCCCGAGTTGCTGGAACTACAGGCATGCACCACCGCGCCCGGCATGTTTCTCATCTTTAACAGTCCTGATATATTTCCAGTGAGACAGTTAAGATAACCTTATGTGTGAACAAACCAGTAACATAATAATAATAATAACGATAGCGAATGTTTATTGACCTATGTACCAGGTACTGTGCAGAACACTCTATAATGATTATTTCACCCATCCTCACATTATCCCTTGGAAATAGGGACCATTATTATCCTTATTTTGTAAAAAATTGAAGTAACCTGCCCAAGATGCCTAACTAGTAAGGGATGAAGCCAAAATTTGAACCAGGCAAATCTGGATTGAAAAACACTGGATTGGTCGGGCACAGTGGCTCATGCCTGTAATCCCAGCACTTTAGGAGGCTGAAGCAGGCGGATCACCTGAGGTCAGGAGTTTGAGACCAGCCTGGCCAACATGGTGAAACTCCATCTCTACTAAAAAAACAAAAATTAGTCGGGCGTGGTGGCAGGCACCTGTAATCTCAGCTACTCGGGAGGCTGAGGCAGGAGAATTGCTTGAACCCAGGAGGCGGAGGTTGCAGTGAGCCAAGATCGCACCATTGCACTCCAGCCTGGGCAACAAGAGCAAGACTTCGTCTCAAAAACAAAACAAAACAAACAAAACAAAACAAAAAAAAACAAAAAAAACCCTGGATTATGTTGCCTCTTTGTGGATTATGGTTGTACTAATAAAACATAAATTTCTAGGCCAGCTTCATTTTCAAGTATTTTGTACTATTGTCCTGTGTACTTAAGGTTTTCACACCATATGTTCTGATTTCGGGGTTTCAGACATATGGTCTCTATGGGTACTATGGGAAAAGGAGTCAAGAGACCTGGTCCCTTTCTCAACTGTCACTAGCTTGAGTAGCTTAAGATAAATCTCTGGGACTTAGTTTCTTCACCTGTGAAATGAGAACATTGGAGGATATTCCTCGAGGGCCTTTTTGACTCCAAGAGTGAATAATAATCCTTTAAAAGATGCTCATAAGGCCGGGCGCGATGGCTCATGCCTGTAATCCCAGCACTTTGGGAGGCCGAGGTGGGTGGATCACAAGGTCAGGAGTTCAAGACCAGCCTAGCCAAGATGGTGAAACCCTGTCTCTACTAAAAATACAAAAATTAGCCAGGCATGGTGGCGGGCGCCTATAATCCCTGCTACTCGGGAGGCTGAGGCAGAGAATTGCTTGAACCCAGGAGGCAGAGGTTGCAGTGAGCCGAGATCACGCCACTGCACTCCAGACTGGGTGACAGAGTGAGACTCTATCTCAAAAAAAAAAAAAAAAAAAAAGATGCTCATAAACCAGGCGTAGTGCTGCACCCCTGTAGGTCCCTGTAGCTGAGGCATAGGCAGGAGGAGCACTTGAGCCCAGGAGTTCAAAGATTGCAGTGCATGACTGGGGCGGGGTGGCTCACGCCTGTAATCCTAGCACTTTGGGAGGCCGAGGCAGGCCAATTGCCTGAGCTCAGGGAGACCAGCCTGGGCAACACAGTGAAACCGCCATCTGCATTAAAATACAAAAAGAAAAAAAAGTTAGCCGGGCATGGCGGTGTGTGCCTATGGTCCCAGCTACTTGGAAGGCTGAGGCAGGAGAACTGCTTTAACCTGGGAGGCAGAGGTTGCGGTGAGCTGAGATTGCGCCACTGCACTCCAGCCTTGGAGACAGAGCAAGACCCCGTCTCTAAAAACAAACAAACAAACAAAAAAAAGCTGGGGGAGGGGCGCGGTGGCTCACGCCTGTAATGCCAGTACTTTGGGAGGCCGAGGCGGGCAGATCACAAGGTCAGGAGTTCAAGACCAGCCTGGCCAACATGGCGAAACCCCATCTCTACTAAAAATACAAAAATTTGCTGGGTATGGTGGCACGTGCCTGTAATCCCAGCTGCTTTGGGAGGCTGAGGCAGGAGAATCGCTTGAACCCAGGAGAAAGAGGTTGCAGTGAGCCAAGACCACACTACTGCACTCCAGCCTGGCAATGGAGTCTTAAAAAAAAAAAAAAAAAGTTGCAGAGGACTATGATCATGCCTACATGCCTGTGAATAGCCACTACTACACGCCAGCCTGGGAACCATAACATGAGACCCAGTCTCTTAAAAGAAAAAAGAGGTTGGGCGCGGTGGCTCACGCCTGTAATCTCAACACTTTGGGAGGCTGAGGCGGGCCAATTGCCTAAGCTCAGGGGTTCGAGACCATCCTGGCCAATATGGCGAAAACCCATCTCTACTCAAAATACAAAAATTAGCTGGGCGTGGTGGCACGCTCCTGTAATCTCAGCTACTATGGAGGCTTGAGAGGAGAATCGCTTGAACCTGGGAGGCAGAGATTGCAGTGAGCTGAGATTGCACCACTGCACTCCAGCCTGAGCAACAAGAGCGAAACTCCGTCTCAAAAAAAAAGGAAAGAAAAGAAAGAAAAAAGGGTACTTGCAATGATTCAAATATACTCAGGAAGAAGAAAAGATTTAAAACTAAAAGTGAATGAGTATTATGTGTTTAATTTTGATGCTTTAAATCTTTTTATGAAGTTAAGTCTATAAACTTAGAAAATACCTCAGGTGCCCCTAAAAATGTCTATAAACTAGCTTATCAAATAGTTTCATATAAGGGAATTATTTAAAGAGTAAGTCAGAATAACTTTTCCTTAAATTGCTATGATAATCATAATGCTTTTTTCTTTAATCTTTAGAAAGCTGGAAATAATACCTAAGCCTACTTCTTGACATGGTATCAAAACAGAGCTTTTGCTGAGAGTTTGATTTATAAAGAAATTATGGTTCGACTGACCTTGGATCTAATTGCCAGAAACAGCAATCTTAAACCCCGAAAAGAAGAAACCATTTCACAGTGCCTGAAGAAAATAACTCATATAAATTTTTCAGACAAAAATATAGATGCAATTGTAAGAACTTTGAAATTATTTCCTGTTTTTATATAATTAATAATGTAAAGTTTAGGAATTGGTTTGGGGGCATACCTAATATATTAACTATATTTTCATTATTCTTACTAACTTTTTTTTTGAGGTAGAGTCTCTCTCAGTCTGTTGCCCAGGCTGGAATATAGTGACATGATCAAAGCTCACTGCAACCTCCGCCTCCCAGGTTCAAGTGACTCTTGTGCCTCAGCCTCCTGAGTAGCTGGGATTACAGGCATGTGCCACCATGCCCAGCTAACTTTTGTATTTCTAGTACAGATGGGGTTTCGCTATGTTTCCAGGTTCACCATGTTGAGTTCTTGAGCTCAGACTTCTGAGCTCAAGAAGTGATCCGCCTGCCTTGGCCTCCCAAAGTGCTAGGATTACACATGTTAGCCACCGCACTTGGCCTTATTAACTTATTTTTATCAGTAAGCTTTATATTGTGTTTTTATTTTAACTTCCTACTTGTGATATTAGATTTGTTAAAATTAAATCTATAAAATATACCATTGTGATTTTTAAATATATATATTTTAAATATTTGTATTACTGTTCTCCTACAACACTGTATAGTGTAGCAAACTAGATTTGAAAGTGTATGTTGGGAAATAATTTCATAGACAATAATTACTTTTGTATTATTGTAAAACCTTGAAATATGAATTTTTTAAGTATACCAAAATGTTAAGAAGTAACTATGTGAGTACCATATTTCAAAAGTTTATCAGTGAGAGAAGGTTGGGAAGGGGGTGAGGGATAAAAGACTACATATTGGGTACAGTGTACACTGCTCAGGTGAAGGGTGCACTAAAATCTCAGAACTCACCACTAAAGAATTTATCCTGGCTAAGCGCGGTGGGTCATACCTGTAATACAGCCTGGGCAACAAAGTGAGACTACGTCTCAAAAAAGAACCTATCCATGTAACCAAAAACCACCTGTATCCACAAAACTATGGAAATTAAAATTAAAATTCACACAAGAAAAAAAGAGTTTAACAGTGAAATCTTTTTTGCACATAATTTAACTGGTTATGTAAATGTATGTTATACTGGGTCAATTACATCAGACAAGTTTATGTTTATCTGGATATAATCTGAAACTACATTTTCTCAGCACTAAGGTAATTCTTGGCTGTAATTTGGGAAACTTTAAAGGCTGCAATAACACTCTTAGGCCATCTGTGTTGGTATCTGTTGTCTACAGTAAATGCTAGACTACAGGTGAGATAAATTTTCTTGGAAACGCAGGAGCTACCTGAGGGCAGAAATCATGTCTATTATTTCACATCACTCTAAATCCCTCATCCATTACAATGCCTGACTCATATTACATGCTTAATAAATATTTATTGAACAAATGAAAGAAATACAAACACCCCAGGCAAAATGATCAATTAAATACTTGGTTTTTTTGTAGGGACCCCAACCCAGCTCCCATTCTAGATCCCCTTCTGGTTTCCTAGTGATCCTTCTTCCCATAATTCCTTTGCCCAAACCTCATGTTTCTCTTTTGTTGCCCAGAACTCTCTACTTCATGATATCATATAAGACTACTTTCTCTGGAGAGCCCCCAGTAAAGTCCCTATTTCATACTCTGTCCTCATATCAATCAATGCTCCTCCAGGGTGGATGATCTTTGATAGAAGGATGGCAAATTGGTTAAAGTAATTCACACTAAAATGAGAATAACTTCTAAACTTACAGTTTCCAACACATAGCTGTATTTTAAAAGAAGTTAACTTAATGAAGGCTGAGAAATTTTTGAGCAGAACTTCACCGCTTGTCTATTTACTCTAGGCTGATCTGCCATGACACAAGAAATGGCAGCCTTTTAAAAAGTCCCTTTAATTATTTTATCTCAAAAGTAACTGGTAGCTGGGCATGGTGGCGCATGCCTACAATCCCAGCTACTCGAGAGGCTGGGGCGCTAGGATCACTTGAGCCCACGAGTTAGACACCAGTCTGGGCAGACCCTGTTTCAAAAAATAATAATAATAATAATAATTGGTGTTCTTATTCATACAAAATACATGTAAAAAGAAAGAATGTAATCCTATTCAGACATAATCACTTTTAACATTTAGGTAATATCCTTTCAGTCTTTTATTCATATAATTTTACAATAGTGGGTCATATTAAATGTACTATTTTCACTTAACTACATATTATGAATTTCACTTAACTATGTATTAGATATTACTGAAGAAACAAAAGGATATTTAATGGTTCTATGGTATTTCTTTTGATAGCATTATCATAGTTTTAAAAAAATTAATGTATGAGGCTGTGTGCGGTGGCTCACACCTGTAATCCTTGCACTCTGGGAGGCCAAGGCAGGTGGATCACAAGGTCAGGAGTTCAAGACCAGCCTAGCTAACACAGTGAAACCCCGTCTCTACTAAAAATACAAAAATTAGCCGGGCATGGTGGTGCACACCTGTAGTCCCAGCTACTCAGGAGACTGAGGCAGGAGAATCGCTGGAACCCAGGAGGCAGAGGTTATGGTGAGCCAAGATTGTGTCACTGCACTCCAGCCTGGGCAACAGAGCGAGACTCCATCTCAAAACCAAAAAAAAAAATTAATCTATTATTCTGGATATCTAGATGACTTCCAGTTTTCAGTATTATAAACCACAATAGTTGACTTCCAATCCTACAGAAATATTAACCCCTATTTGTAATGTTGAGACAATAATTTATTCAATGCTTCAACTTCCAGAGGAGCCTAATGGCTTCCAAGGAAAATTGCTTGCACTGGGAAAATCTCAACAATTCCAGTTTTATGAGATACCATCTCACACCAGTTAGAATGGCAATCATTAAAAAGTCAGGAAACAACAGGTGCTGGAGAGGATGTGGAGAAATAGGAACACTTTTACACTGTTGGTGGGATTGTAAACTAGTTCAACCATTATGGAAAACAGTATGGTGATTCCTCAAGGATCTAGAACTAGATGTACCATATGACCCAGCGATCCCATTACTGGGTATATACCCAAAGGATTATAAATCATGCTGCTATAAAGACACATGCACACGTATGTTTATTGCGGCACTATTCACAATAGCAAAGACTTGGAATCAACCCAAATGTCCATCAGTGACAGACTGGATTAAGAAAATGTGGCACATATACACCATGCAATACCATGCAGCCATAAAAAAGGATGAGTTTGTGTCCTTTGTAGGGACATGGATGCAGCTGGAAACCATCATTCTTAGCAAACTATCACAAGAACAGAAAACCAAACACCGCATGTTCTCACTCATAGGTGGGAACTGAACAATGAGATCACTTGGACTCGGGAAGGGGAACATCACACACCGGGGCCTATCATGGGGAGGGGGGAGAGGGAGGGATTCCACTGGGAGTTATACCTGATGTAAATGACGAGTTGATGGGTGCTGCCGAGTTGATGGGTGCAGCACACCAACATGGCACAAGTATACATATGTAACAAACCTGCACGTTATGCACATGTATCCTAGAACTTAAAGTATAATAATAATAAAAAATAAATAAAAATAAAAATAAAAAATAAAAAAAATTTAAAAAAAATTCCAGTTTTATTGATATGATTATTACAGAATTTCTTAAAAAAAGAAAAAATATTACAGAATTTCTTTTGTAATCAGTCTAGTCTTGTTTTAACTGTGCCAAGAACAGAGAAATACTGTTCTCTTATATTAACCTTAGGAAAATTTGCAGAATGATCAACTGAAAATTTTTGTTAAAAACAAGTTTTCAGGAGAAATTACATTTAACATGTTTTTGTTTCCCTTTTAGGAAGACCTCTCTCTTTGCAAAAATCTTAGTGTTTTATATTTATATGATAATTGTATTAGTCAAATCACTAACCTGAATTATGCCACAAATCTGACCCACTTGTACCTACAAAACAATTGTATTTCATGTATAGAGAACCTCAGGTCATTAAAGAAACTGGAAAAACTGTAAGTGCTTTTATTTTTTAATAATGTATCTGATTTTTATGATTATGGTACTTATATTTTTTTGCATGAAGGCATTTCCATTTTTTGCATTAAATTCCAAAAGTAAATTGAATATGAAATTGATATGATTTCATACTTATATGAAAAAAAGCATATGATTCCCACATGGGTTTTGTGGAACAGACCTCAATTTCTATTTTCTCGTACTATTATTAAGAAGTAAATTGTTTCACATATAATATTAATAATTTGTGTTTTATTAAGCCTGATACACTTTTCATTCTGGGGAGGGGTTGTCTTAAGGGCTAATAGGGATACTTAAAACATCCTCATGTGGGCTCAACTGATAAAAGAAGTTTCCATGGGACCCAGATGAGTTATGTGCCTTTCAGAATCACACATCTCATACCATCTGGGTCATATAATTGATCCTATTGATGTAAACTTGATTGTAAAACGGCATTTACTGCCTATAGTGATTATAATTAGGCAATGAAGATTGGTGGATCCAATTTCCCAGACTGGAATAACTATCATGCTCCTCAAAGAACCGGCTAAAAGCCTCAGAATGGGGACACAAGAGTTGGCTGGTGAATGCTTATTAAAAATGCAGAGCACTGGGTTCTAACCTACATATCCAAATTAGAATCTCCATGGGTTAGGCCCAGATATCTTCATTTTTCCTTTTATCTCTTAGTTTTGAGACAGAGTCTCGCTCTGCCACCCAGGCTTGAGTGCAGTGGTGCGATCATGACTTATCGCAGCCTTGATGTCCTAGGTCCAAGTGATCTTCCCACTTCAGCTTCCTGAGTAGCTGGGTCCACAAGCATGCACCACAATGACTGGCTGGCTGGCTGGCTTATTTATTTATTTATTTAGAGATGGGATCTTCCTATGTTGCCCAGACTGGTCTTAAACTTCCAGGCTCCCAAAGTGCTGGGATTACAGATGTGAGCCACTGTGTCTAGCCGTGAAATCTTCATTTTTTAAACCTACAACCCAGAAAGGTTATTATCAAACTATCTACACCAGGGCTCTTCATATGTCAGATGAAGTAGATAGTACTGGTAGATAGTTTGATAATAACTATTACAATTCGCTCACTTTTTTAAAAAGCAAAAAAATGTACTTCTAGACTAAATGAAGTATAAGAATGTAATTTGTTCTCATTTAGATAAACCAACCTTTCATAGATTTAATATAACACAAAATTCCTCATTTATAATTTTGTTCAGCTCAATTATTTTGTTATTACACTTTTGTCACACTTAATAAAGACCATGACATTCTCAGAATGTCTATTTAGAACTATGTCTATGTTTTGCAGGTATCTGGGAGGCAATTACATTGCTGTCATAGAAGGTTTAGAAGGATTAGGAGAACTAAGAGAGCTTCATGTTGAGAATCAGAGGCTTCCCCTTGGGGAAAAGCTTCTGTTTGATCCAAGAACTCTTCATTCTCTGGCAGTAAGTTCACATTTGAATATTTTGACAAGGAATATAGTGATTAACAAGTTATAATGAAACAGGAATGTGGTGAAGGTATATTTGGACATTGTACATCCTCTGCATTTTATATGGCCAGCTCAGAGTTTATCTGAGGACTGAAGCTGATTTTCTCAGGTACAATCTCAGAGACTCAGCATTTATAAAGTGGGATAATAAAACTTGCCTCTTTGGGTAACTGGAAGGATGAGAAGAATGTGAAAAGGTATGTTAACTGAAGTTCTAATACAGATGTTCATTCATTCATAATGTGGACCTTGGTGATTATCATGGCTCAACATTTTAAATTTTAGGAAAAAGCCTAAGGAGAGAGGAATGTGCAATTATTTGGAAACCTTTAAACAATATAGTAGAGAGCCATTGTAATAATAAGTTGTTTTCTTCCGGGATCCTGATTTGATTGTAGATTGCACTACATACAGCTCTACCACATCAGAACTATGTAGGCCTGGGAGCCCTGGGGTTGGGGCTCTAACTGTGTCACCTGAAACGAGTCACATTGGATGGAGGTACCACAATAAATTGAGAAGCCAGAGGGCACCACTTAGGCTCCTGCTAATCCTCAAAACAACAGACTTACTGGGATAGGCTAACTTTAATTCTGGGGCAAGGGACATAAATGGGACATGGTAGTTGTTTCACAGATTTCATCAGTTTTATTTTATTTTATTTTTATTTTAAAAATAAAAATAAACTCTGTTGCCCAAGTTGGAGTGCAGTGGCACGACCTCTGCTCACTGCAACCTCCACCTCCCCAGTTCAAGCAGTTCTCCTGCCTCAGCCTCCCAAGTAGCTGGGACTACAGGCGTGCGCCACCACGCCCGACTAATTTTTGTATTTTTAGTAGAGATGGGGTTTCACCATGTTGGCCAGGCTAGTCTGGGATTACAATGTTGGGATTACAGGTGTGAGCCACCGTGCCCAGCCTCATCAGTTTTATTTTAGAGGGCCCAGAAATAGAGGATAGTGGATGGATTTTGACCCAAATTTATAAAAATTAAGAGGTAGTTCTCCCAATACTTTAGTATCAGGAAATATTTTTTCTAAAGGTTGACTGTGCATGGATGCCTCCATGTTTTTTTTAAACTTAAACTAATAAGAACAGATACTGCACTAGATCTTAGCAAAAAGGCCATGAAGCGATGATTGACTCCATCTTGGCAGAGATTCCTGAGCCTCGTAAGATGACTCTGATTTAGTGTTATAGTGTTACAACAACACTGAAATTCCTGTTAATTAGCTAATTATTATTTTAAGTAGTTCCCGAACATATAGATTGATGGGAGAAAACCATATAGACAAGTAGAGAGAAAAATAAAAACCAGATATTATTTTATTCTTGATCATGTTTCCTATTTAGTAAAATAAAGACAAAAACTATTTCTTCCTATGTAAGTATAAATCTTTTTTCGAGACGGAGTTTTGCTCTGTCTCCCAGGTGTGATCTCTGCTCACTGCAACCTCCACCTCCCAGGTTCAAGCGATTCTCCTGCCTCAGCCTCCTGAGTAGCTGGGACTACAGGCATGTGGCACCATGCCCAGCTAATTTTTTGTATTTTTAGTAGAGATGGGGTTTCGCCATGTTGGTCAGGCTGGTCTTGAACTCCTGACCTCAAGTGATCCGCCTGCTTCACCTCCTAAAGTGCTGAGATTACAGGCATGAGCCACTGCACCCAGCCCCTATGTAAGTACAAATGTTAGTAATATTTAGCACAAAATGATAATTTGCTAAAGCTACAGTATTGTGTTACTTGTTTATTGGGGCATCTTTTTTTCTTTCTTTGCTTTTTGATTCTTGGCTTTTTTATTCTATAAGTTTATTTTGTATCTTGGAAAAGAAAAATATGACTTATGGAGGAATTATAGGGAGAAAGGGTAAGTTATATGACATACTGTGGTTCTAAAACTTTCATCTGAAAAAAAAAATGCATTAAAAAGCATTTCATGGCTTTTGATGTTTTTACCTAAAGAGTAAAACAACCTGAACTGATCAAGCTTAAAATTTTCAAAGTTTAGGATTTCTGGTTCCTATATACAGTATTTAGACTATTTACTAATGCTAACTTGGTTATTTTTCTTACAGAAATCCCTCTCTATATTGAATATCAGCAATAATAATATTGATGACATTAGAGACTTAGAAATACTGGAGAATCTTAATCAGCTCATAGCCGTTGACAACCAACTTCTGCATGTGAAGGTAGTGTAAAGAGAAATTAATTTTTAAGATATTTACATGAAATTATGATTGAAAAATATGTGTTTTGAAATAGCTATAAAATAAATATATCACATTAGAAACTACTCTGGATTTTTTCTAAAATTAGCTAATGAATCCCTACTTCTTAATGTATTTGTGTGTATAATTCTGTCCTCTTATTCAGTTTTCTCCTTTATACTCCAATACCTCTATCCCTCACCAACAGAAGAAAAGTTTCTCTGAGACGGGAAGTATTTCTTCTTTGCATTATTTTCTCATCAAACTTTTTCTTCTAGAGACTAGATTTCTTGCCCCTTAAGCCTGATCTCCCAATGAATGAGTTTCTAGTAACTATGACTAGACCTGAACTCTCTCTTGGCTACTTCTTTTTGGGGAAGTACTTGAAATTATTCTGATTGAACTTACTCTAATTTGTACCAGCTATATTAATGTCATGTTATATCATATCATGCCATATTCATTCAATTATTCATTTAATCAAATATGTATTGGCCATCTACGTATTTGTCAGGCACTAATACTACTCAGCGTAGAACAAAGGAAGGAATATACGATCTTGATCTTCAAGAATTTGAAAACAAGGTCGACCAATCAACCAGTAATGAGACTACAATATGATACTGTTTTTATAAGTATTGTGATAGCCCTAACTCAGCCTAGGGCTATAGAAGGCTTCCTCGAAACAGTCATCCATGAGTTGAGCCATTGCTATGACCTTAAAGTTTCTAGTTTGGCAATGGAATGAGCTGTGGTATAATTTCTTGACATACGAACCACAGGAAGAAGAATGAGCTTCTTTCTCCCAAAACAGCTTTTGTTTCAGAACTACTTCCACACAGCCATTTGTTGACCCTAAAAATGTTACGTTGACCTTGTTTCCAAATTCAGATCTATGGCCTGGTTCATCCCAAAGCTGCTATAAGCAATAGATAATTATGAAAATAAATATATGTATTCTAGCACAAATGAATTCCTCAAAATATCTAAAATGCCATTGAATAATCAGGGTGAATGTTTAAAATAAGAAGACCTTAGGAAGCACAACTCAATTAGTTGTTCCAACTTACAATGTGAAAAATGTAAGACATTCATGGGATAAATTCTGAATTAAAATATATTTTACATTTTATTTTATTTTTTTCTTTTTATTTTGAGACAGAGTCTCTGTCGCCCAGACTGGAGTGCAATGGCGAGATCTCGAATCACTGCAACCTCTGCCTCCCAGATTCAAGTGATTCTCCTGCCTCAGCCTCCCGAGTATCTGGGATTACAGGTGCCTGCCACCACACCCAGCTAATTTTTATATTTTCAGTAGAGACGGGATTTCACCAGGTTAGCCAGGTTGGTCTTGAACTCCTGACCTCAGGGGATTCGCCCACCTCAGCCTCCCAAAGTGCTGGGATTACAGGTGTGAGCCACCACACCCGGCCCTTTATTTTATTTTTTGAGACGGAGTCTCACTCTGTTGCCCAGGCTGGAGTGCAGTGGCGTGATCTTGGGTCACTGAAACCTCCGCCTCCCGGGTTCAAGTCATTCTCCTGCCTCAGCCTCCTGAGTAACTGGGATTACAGATGTGCACCACCATGCCTGGCTTATTTTTGTATTTTAGTAGAGACAGGGTTTCACCATATTGGCCAGGCTGGTCTCGAACTCCTGAGCTCAAGTGATCTACCCGCCTCAACCTCCCAAAGTGCTGGGATTCTAGGCGTATGCCACTGCACCCAGCCTGGTAATGGCCATTACTTTTAAAGAGTTATTCTATTATGCTTTTTAACTCCAAACAGAGAAAGGGGAGTTTGATAACAGGGCAAAACTTCTAGCCTCTAAATGATCCCAAAGGAGGTTTTTCTGCATGACATTAAGACAAAGCTGTTTTGCCTACATGATTACTCTTAGACCATGTTAATAATGCATACCCAGAATAAATGTGCAGCCAAAATAAATACCTTCATTATTGCTAATTATTCTATCTAATGACCAACATCTAAATCCTCTTTTTTTTTTTTTTTTTGAGACAGAGTCTCGCTCTGTCATGCAGGCTGGAGTGCAGTGGTGTGATCTTGGCTCACTGCCACCTTCACCACCTTGGTTCAAGAGATTCTCCTGCCTCAGCCTCTCAAGTAGCTGGGATTACAGGCATGTGCCACCACGTCCAGCTAAGTTTTGTATTTATAGTAGAGATGGGGTTTTGCCATGTTGGCCAGGCTGGTCTCGAACTCCTAACCTCAGGTGACCCACCTGCCCCAGCCTCCCAAAGTGCTAGGATTACAGGCGTGAGCCACTGCACCTGACCCAAATCCTCTTTAACGACTGAACTCCATATTATCTCCCCTATGTAGCTTTTCCTGAACCTCCCCATCAAGTTAATCTATTAAAAAATATTTACAGGCCGGGCGCGGTGGCTCAAGCCTGTAATCCTAGCACTTTGGGAGGCCGAGACGGGTGGATCATGAGGTCAGGAGATCGCGACCATCCTGGCTAAGACAGTGAAACCCCGTCTCTACTAAAAAATACAAAAAAACTAGCCGGGCGAGGTGGCGGGCGCCTGTAGTCCCAGCTACTCGGGAGGCTGAGGCAAGAGAATGGCGAATGGCGTAAACCCAGGAGGCGGAGCTTGCAGTGAGCCGAGATCCGGCCACTGCACTCCAGCCTGGGCAACAGAGCGAGAATCCGTCTCAAAAAAAAAAAAAAAAAAAAAAAAAAAAAAAAAAAATTTACAGTAGTCCCAACTTATCTGTGAAGGCTACATTCTAAGACCCTCAGTGGATCCCTGAAACCATAGGTAGTATTGAATGCTATATATATTAGTTTTTTCTAAGTGTACATATCTATGATAAAGTTTAATTTATAAATTAGGCATACTAAGAGATTAACAACAATAATAATAAATGGAGGCTGGCTGCAGTGGTTCATATCTGTAATCCCAGCACTCAATCAGGAGATTGAGACGATCCTGGCTAACGCGGTGAAACCCCATCTCTACTAAAAATACAAAAAATTAGCCATGCATGGTGGCGGGTGCCTGTAGTCCCAGCTGCTCAGAGGCTGAGGCAGGAGAATCGCTTGAACCTTGGAGGCAAAGGTTGCAGTGAGTCGAGATGGTGCCACTGCACTCCAGCCTGGGTGACAGAGCAAGACTCTGTCTTAAAAAAAAAAAAAAAAAGGGAGCGGTTACAATGTCAGCATCACTGCTCTTGCACTTTGGGGCAAGTGAAATAAGGGTTGCTTGAACACAAGCACTACAATAACCACACAGTAGATATGATAACCTAAGTGACTAATGGGTTGGTAGCATGTATAGTTTGGAAATGCTGGACAAAGGAATAATTCATGGCCCAGGCAGGACAAACAGGCCAGCGCAAGATTTCATTATGATACTCAGAACAGCATCCATTGTACTCAGCTGGGCTAGGCGGCTGATGCCTGTAATCCCAGCACTTTGGAAGGCTGAGGCAGGCCGATCACTTGAGGCCAGAAGTTTAAGATCACCCTGGCTGACATGGCAAAACCCTATATAATTTGCCCCGCATGGTGGTGCACACCTGTAATCCCAGCTACTCAGGAGGCTGAGGCAGGAGAATTGCTTGAACCCAGAGCCAGAGGTTGCAGTAAACCAGGATTGTGCCACTGCACTCCAGCCTGGGTGACAGAGTGAAAAAATGAGTATCCATTTTAAAACTTACAAATTATTTTTTCTGGGATTTTCCATTAAATATTTTTGGATGACAGTTGACTGAGGGCAACTGAATAACGGGGTTGGGGGAACTACTATATTATATTCCACGTTCCAGGCACTGTTCTAGGCCCTTGGAAAAACACATCTTAGATACTGGAGATACATGATAAATAAGACAAAGTCTCTACCCTCGGCCAGGCACAGTGGTTCACGCCTGTAATCCCTGCACTTTGGGAGGCCGAGGTGGGTGGATCATGACATTAGGGGTTTGAGACCAGCCTGGCCAACATGGTGAAACCCTGTCTCTTTAAAAAAAAAAAAAAAAAAAAAAAAAAAGAGGCCGGGCGCAGTGGCTCACGCCTGTAATCCCAGCACTTTGGGAGGCCGAGGTGGGTGGATCACGAGGTCAGGAGATCAAGACCATCCTGGCTAACATGGTAAAACCCCGTCTCTACTAAAAATACAAAAAAATTAGCCAGGTGTGGTGGCTGGCGCCTGTAGTCCCAGCTACTCAGGAGGCTGAGGCAGGAGAATGGTGTAAACCCGGGAGGCAGAGCTTGCAGTAAGCCGAGATTGCGCCACTGCACTCCAGCCTGGGCCACAGAGCAAGACTCTGTCTAAAAATAAAGAAATAAAAATTAAAAAAAAAAAAAAAAGCCTCTACCCTCAAGGCGCTTACTTTACAGAGGTACAAGGGAGGAAATGGTAAGAAAATACATAAGCAAGGCCGGATATGGTGGCTCATGCCTGTAATCACCGCACTTTGGGAGGCCGAGGCAGGAGAGGATTGCTTGAGGCCAGGAATTCAAAACCAGCCTGGACAACACAAGAAGACCTTTTCTCTACAAAAAAAAAAAATTAAAAAAGAAATTAGCAATTTGCTTCGTGTGATGGCATGTGCCTGGACTTAGGTACTCAGTCCCAGGTACTCAGGAGGCTGAAGTGGGAGGATCGCTTGAGCCCAGGACGGGATCCCTTGCCCCAAGGGATCCCTTGCAGTGAAGCAGTGACCTGTGATCCATCCACTGCACTCCAGACTGGGTAATAGAGTGAGACCCTGTCGCAAAAAAAAAAAAAAAAAAAAAAAAAAAAAAAAAAAAAAAAAAAAAAAAAAATTAAAAAAAGAAGAAAAGAGAAGAGAAGAGAAGAGACCTAAGCAGAGAAGATTTTGAAAAGTGCTATGAGGGAATTAAATAAGATAACAGAAAAAGAAGAGTCAGTGGATATTTTAGATCAGGTTAATATGAAAGGCCTCTGAAGAAATGACATTTACATTGAGATCTGAAGGATGAGAAAGAAGATA